CTGCTGAGGTTTGCTTCCCAAGAATTTCTGCTGCTGCTTAGCCCTCTGAAGCCCATGGCTCTGTCCACAGCATGCAAACACTGTTGAAAGACTTTTATTCCATCCAGCACAGAACATGCAGCATTGGTGAAGGGAATATCTGTTTTTGGTCTCCCACTTCTTCTGTCCTTCTGAGCCTAGGGCTCTTGGCTACTGGGCTCTTGCAAACTCCACTTTATTTAAACGGCAGTGCTTCTCAGCTGGCTTGTGCCCATCTCTCTCCACTTGGTGAAATCTGCCTCCCAAAAGGGAAGTTACTCATCCATGCTCATCTATATATCTAATAGCGAAACGTACCCCCTGCGTGCGGATACCTAAATCCGTGCATCGGGGGCACCTGGGGGGGAGGGAGATTTTTGTGCACACTTGGGGCAGTCCCCAGGTGTGCACAAAAATATGAAAACCTGAAAAAATATCGGGGGGATATTTAAATCCCCCCAAAAGTGACAGAGCGTCCCCTGTGCATGCGCAGGGAACACTCTGCAGCTGGCCTCGCTGCTGCCGCAACTTACCTCCTCCTGCTTCCTCCTCCTGCTTCCTCCTCTTCCAGGTAGGTGTGGAGCTCCCTCCCCCCCCTTCCTGCGAGCATCGCGGGTCCCGCCCCTTGTTTAGTCTATTTGCAGGACTCGAGCTCTGATCTCAGGTTCCTTTCCAGCATTCTAGCCTACTGACCGCATTGCATACCCAAGGAGCGCCCCTCAGCTTCTCCAGCTAACGCAAGGATTGAGCGCGTGCGTGTATGTTCCTTTACAGACAAGAAGTTGGGAGAAGCGCGAACACAGTTTGTGGAGAAGGTGAACAAAGCTGTCATCAGCAAAGTCCTGGATGATCTGCTAGAAAAAGGGGTCTTGAATGATGAGGAGGTGGAAAAGGTGAAGGAGAAATCTGTCACGCAGGAACAAGCCAGAACTCTGATCGATGGCGTCAGGAAGAAGGGCCCCAGAGCCAGCCTCATCGCTATCAAGAGCATCCATGCCCGAGACGTTTTCTTGGCTGAACAGCTGGGACTGACGGTCTTTTTGGAAGGTATGTGCACTTTTGCAGTTTAACCCCTGCCCAGGGTACGCGCAGGCTCAGCACATTTGGCTGCCCCCAGTTGACTGCCCCCACCTAATTCCAGAGGTGCTTCCTATTGGCAGAGTAATTAACACAGCAATGGTGCACAACCTGATTAAAGAGTAGATAAAGGTTTATTTAGGAATTAACATACTTGATTGAAAAGAGGAGAGGTAGAGATTGGTTCCTAACTACATCTCTAGCTGAGAGGGAGGGAGAGAGAGACTGAGCGTGGCACTTCCGAGAAGAAGGGGGAATTGCCCTAAGAGTAGCAATCTGGAGACAGATGAGGAATGACACTTATGTCAGAACCCACAGCCAACAACGGAGTACACGCTTCTGTAGAGAGGTTATACTTTTATTGAAGAGACATAGATGCATTAACACTGTTAAGAATAGCAGTTGCCTCTTGAACCTAATGAGATATAGGGCATTCGTATGCACCCCCACACACACTGCGCTGGCCAATTAGGCACCCTCCCGCACGCGGGCTAAAGCTAGCAAACGTTACTATGCGAAGCTGGGAATTTTTCCGCTCCCACGACTTGCCTGGAAGGCAGACAACACACACCACCACCTGTACTTCTTTAGAGATTAGCATTTCAGCGCAAAGCAGAGAGAGGAATGCGAAAGCAATTTGCACAGACACTGAAAGAACATCCCAACCCCCATGGCAGCATAGCTGACAACTTAACAGGAGAGCAGGTGCTGACCTCACTATCCTCCATAATTGTCTTCTTGCTGCCGCCTGCAGGATCTTCTTCTCTTCTTCTTTGTACACCAGACATTGCCTTTTCCAACACTTCCCACAACTGGACTGTAGCCAAGAGCAGTTCCCCAGATCCTTTTCCAACCCTCTAATCACCATGCTGACTGTCTGTTACGCAATGAAAAGTGCTGTTACAATCTTTTATTTTAAAGACATTTTCATTGTTTTCTGTTTTATCCATCCATCCATCCATCCATCCATTCATTCATTCCTCATATTTCTACCCCACCCTCCCAGCCGAAACCAGCTCAGCACCTTGGTAAATCACTTGTGTTAAAGGCTGTATATAAATTACTTGAGATCTTCAATCTTTCTTGGTTCCAGGAAGTCCATCACAACCCCTCCAAGCTCTTGGTCCAAGGGCCATCCTCTCTGTGGAAGAAACCCAGCCAGTGAAATCCAGACAGGGGACCACGCTTTGCCCTCCAAATGCCTTTGAAGAAACCCAACCGGTGGAATCCAGACAGGGAATCAAGCTTTGCCCTCCAAATGTCTTTGACAAGATCCAAAAGGAGGAATCTACCAAGGTGCTGATGGGTGCTTGGTTGCCTTTTAGAACATGGAATTCAGTAGACTCAGCTGGATCTGGGCGCCTGTCGCGACTCGACAGTTCTGCTTAACAGATAGATGTGGGCGTGAAAAATGCATTATATATTTTGTCTGGAGTGAAGGAGAATATAACAGGAGCCAGACAAGTCATGCGCAGATGGTGCTTGATGCCTTTTGGGTGCTTCCTTTTACTGTGGGAGCTTCCTGCTTTTCGTGTGGGGAATAATCCTCATGTCGAAGAGGGGTAATTGTAGGCTCAAAGCAGCCTATCTAAGGCAGTTCTGAGCATAGATTTACGGTAATCATTTGGGAGCCCCCAATGTTTGCACTGCCAATAATCCAAAAAGGTAAATCTGGGGAGGGAAGCAAAATATGTGTGTTGCTACAATGGAAGGGGGATTAAGCTGCTACATAAACACATCACACTATGGGGACAGATTCTGGGTCCAGTTATAGGGCTTGGGTTTAAATGGTAAACTAAAGATTCTTTTTTCCCAGGCTTGGAGATAGGAGTGGAATATAGGTGGGTGAGCCAGTCTTCTTTCTAATTGGTGGAAGGGGAGAAGGAGGGAGCTCCCAGGTCCTGGGAATATATAAAATAAATTTAAATATAAAATATAAATAAATGTCTTACTAAGGAAACGAAAGGCAAATTCAGACTGTTAGGGTCTGGCCTCTTATGGAACACTTCCTTTATACATTTCCAACCCAGGTGTGGGTTTTTGGAGAGGTCTGGTTAGGACTGCCAACTTCTCAAT